CGCCGCAGGCTGCGCCGCGCCGTCGGGGCACTGCTTGCTCCAATCGCGCGCGCAGGCACCGTCTTCCGCGGCGCTGCCTAGGCTTGTTGCCCTTGGCGCAGCCGCGCTCGGCTCGCGCGCGCGCCGTGCAATCCGGCGGAAGGGGCCGCCTCCGATTCGACATGGAAATCAGCTGGCGCGCCGGCGCACCCAGAACCGCGGGGCGACGTCTCACCGACGCATCGTCGCCGCGGGAAACGCCTCCTGGGCGCGGAAGCCCGCCGCCGCCGATGCGTCGGTGCCCGGCGCGCAAGCGGAGCGCATCCGCCCTGCGTCCGCTTGCTCTTTCTCGGATGCACGAACGCTCTGCAACTGCAGCGCGATTTGGCGCACTTGCGAACCAGAACAATCGCGACGAGCGCAAGTTCCGCGAGCTTGAGAAACGCAGGGCAGGCTAACAAACCCGGCAGCGACGGCGCGCCGCTTTGTCATCGACGCCCAGGCGCCCACGGAAGCTACGCACCGAATGCGGCGCGCATATGCTGCAACGACCACCCCGCCCCACCCTGCCGCTCCGCCCCCCATGCGCCCCAAAGTTATAGCGAGGTGCTTCTGGCCATGGCGTGCAAAGAATGCGCTGGGCGCGCCCAAGTCAAGTTGCCTCCAGCCGCGTCGACGATCGGCCGGCGACCCAAAGATGCACCCGAAGGTGTTGGAAGCGGTGGGTCCCGGAGAAACAAGAAGCACGGGGAAGCGCATGCGTTGCGGCGCGATCGAATGGCCCGCGCGCTGCCATTTCGGACCGAGCTGGGCGCCCGACGCCCGCGCCTGTCGCGCATCCGCGCGACGCCGCCAGCACGGCGCGCGCGCGCGCTAGCTCGGCAATGGCAACATGTCGCGCGCGTCGCTCCGCGCGCGTCGGAACTCCCGGGGCTTCCTGCGCGCCGCGAACGCGCTGCAATCGGATGGCGGGCGCGGCGTGACTGGGCGAACCTCTTCGCCCAAGCCCGCTGGTCGACCCTGGCGGCGCGCGGCTTGCCGATGAGAAGCCGGCCAAACACGAGAGGAGCGCCCACCGCGAGCAGCGCGGCGTCGGCCCCCACATTGGCGGCGCGCGCTGCGGAGAGGGCAGGCGCTCGGGCACTCTCTGCTCCGACGCTGTTCGCTGCCAGGGCGGCTGGGATGGAATTGCGAGTCCCCGCGCTCGATGGGCCAGACGCGCGGCGCGCGCTGCGCGGCCACTGCCGGCGCTCGCCCATGGAAATGGCGCGCGCGACGCCTTTCGCTCTGCCGTTGCACTGCCCGCGCAAAGCACATGCAGAAGCGTCGTCGCGAGGGAATCGCGCCACTGGCGCGGCGTGCCCGCCGCCGCCGATCGGTGCCGAGGAGCGGCGGCTGCGCTTGCCCCCCCCCTTCCGCCGCTGCCTCGCCCGCCTTCTCGCCCGCTGCCCCTGGGGCAGCGCCCCCTCCGCCCCCCGTCGGCCCCGCTGTCTCGAGCCCCTCCCCCGCCCCGGCGCTCGCGCCCCATCGCGCGGCGCGTCTCTGCTTTTCGCGGCGCGCCACCACTTCCGCGCGCCCCCCCGCCCTCGCGCGCGGAGGAGCGCGCTCGCGCCGCGGGGCGCGGCCCGCGCAGACGAGCTGAATGGCGAACGCTCGCGGCGGAAGTGACTCTGGCGGCGGGCAGGTTGGGACGGGCGCACGATGGCCCCGATTCTAAACAATCGGTTTTCGAGCATTCGCGCTACTGGGAGCACGCCCATGCCCCTTCGGCGATGCTGCCCGCGCCTGCTGCGACACTGCCCTGGCGGGCTGGCCTGCCCTGGCGCGCCAGGCACGCGCTGCGGCTGGGGTGAGAGAGGTCGCTGCGCGGGAGCTACGTCTGGCCGCGGGGCACGAAAACGCGGACGCCATCGCGGACATCAGGGCGGGGCCCCGCGCGAGGGGATCATCCGCCGTGCACCCAGCCGACCTCCAGAACACTGAAAGCTGATTCCTGGCCCCTCCCCTGCCGTCGCCCCCCCCCTCCCTTCGCCCTCCCCCGTCAGCGCGCCCTGATCGCCTCCAGCTCTGCCAAACTAGAAGCGGCGGATTGGGTGTGAGTGTTCACGCGATGACGGAAATAACGACGCAGGAGCGCAGACCGGGACGTATCCGGCGCACGCTGCCCCCTCTCTGGACATCTTCATCGGCGGCTTGATGCCTGTGGCCGCGCCTGCTCGAGAGCGCGCCGCCTGGTTGGGCGCGACCGCGCCGCCCTCTTTTCCTCGCAAGCCTCCGAGACAATGCTTGCGCAACGCACGTTTTATCCCTTCTCAATCGTTGGCCGAGTGCGCCGCACTGCGCGCCGGATTAGTTTCCCTGGTTTTCGGCCCGCGCCCGCAAGCGCGCACGCGTCGCCGGCGCTCGCGCGCGCGATGGCTGGCTTCGCCAGGCCCGCGGCCGGCGCTTGCCAGAGCGCCGGGATCGGCGGGGTGGCATCGATGGCGCTTAATCGTCAAGACAGGCAGCCACTGGGCCCGCGGCACTTGCCCACTCGACAGACCGCGGGATTTCGCGCTCCGCGCCAGCGCGACGAGCCGCCGACAGAACGCGCTCGGCGGTCGGGGGCCCAAGGATACCGCGGCACCAGCTGGGCCTGCGCCACGTGCTACCCGCGCTCGACCCAGGCGCGTCAGCCGTTGTCGACGTTGTCATGGTATCGCACCCGCCCGAGTTACCGACTCGCATCAGTCGCGCAGCTAGCCGGCCGCTCTGCGCGCGAGCTCGCGCGCGCCAGCGCGGCCGCAGCGACGCGCCAGCCAGCGCCAAGCAGCCATCGCAATCGCCGGCGCATGGGTTTTGCAGACCCAGTTGCGGGTGCGCGGGCGGGATGATTGCGCGAGCAGCGGGGCTGCAAGCTCGGCGGGGTGACCTGCGCCACGTTGCTTGCGCCACATCTATGGCGCCACGTAGCTCACAAGAAAGCCACTGTTCGGGTTTCACTATTGCTAGCTGCTTATTATATATAAATATATATGCTTCGGAGGTTGCGGGGGTGAGATCGCAGCGGCAACCTCGAAATCGTTTCGTTTCGGTTGCGTCGCGCGCACGGGCGAGGCGAAGCTGCGTGGGTGCGCGAGAGGAATGAGCCCGCAGTTGCTGGGGCGAAGTCAAGGCAAATGATTATGCCCCTCCCGCCCGTCCGGCGGTGGCCCGCGGTGCCCCGCGGTGTCCCGCGGCGTCCCGTGGTGCCCCGTGGTGTCCGCCGTTGCTAAGGCGAGGTCGAAGCAAATGATTCCCCCCCTCCCGCCCGTCCGGCGGTGGCTCGCGGTGCCCCGCGGTGTCCCGTGGTGTCCCGCGGTGTCCGTGGTGCCCCGCTGAGAGAAGTCGATAATGCGATCGATCGTGAGATCGATGCTGTGCCCCGAGGTGTCCCGTGGTGTCCCAAAGAGTGAAATCGATAGTGAGATCGACAGGCGCCCCGTGGTGTCCCCGTTGGGTGAGATCGACAGTGAGATCAATGTGGTGTCCCGAGGTGTCCTATGGTGTCCCGTTGAGTGGCATCGATAGTGAGATCGAGAGTGAGATCGAGAGGTGCCCCGCTGTGTCCCGTGGTGTCCCGCGGTGTCCCATCGAATGGGATCGATAGTGAGATCGACAAGTGTCACGTGGTGTCCCTTTGGATGGGATCGGTCGAATCAGATATCGCCCCCCCCCCCACCCCTCCCTCCCCCGGCGCAATCGCCTCATCGCCCGACGGCGCGAACCTTTGCCACGTTCATTCAGTTTGCTGTCGTCGGACAGCGGCCCGAGCGAGGACGCTCGGACTCGCGCTCGCGCGCGGGGCGCGCAGAAACGCCCGGCGGCGCAACTTGAACTTCCCGCGCGCAAGAAGAACCCGCGAAGCATGCGAAAGGCGTGCAGCGCTGGGACGAAGCCGCCACTGGGGCCTTCGGTGGAGCCCCCTGGGCGGGGGAAACGCATGCGAGTGCAAACGCGGGGGCCTTCGGCGGAGCTCTCTGGAGCACGGAGCGCTGTCCTGGGCAGGGGGACCGGGTGCGAACGCAGCCACCGGGGCCTTCGGTGGAGCTCCCCATGGGGCCACAAAGCGCCGTGCTGGGTGGGGGAGGCGCGTGCGAGCGCAGCCACTGGGGCCTTCTGTGGAGCCCCACATAAGGCCACGGAACGCTGCGCTGGGCGGGGGGGGGCGCATGCGAGCGCAGCCGCTGAGGCCTTCGGTGGAGCTCCTCATGAGGCCGCGGAACGTTGCACAGGGTGGGGGAACCGCGCGCGAGCTCAGCAACTGGCGCCTTCGGCGGAGCCGCCAGCGGGGCCACGAAAGGCTTTGCTGGGTGGAGGAACCGCACGCGAGCTCAGCCACTGGGCCCTTCGGTGGAATTCCCTATGCGGTCACGAAGCGCTGTGCTGGGTGGGAGAACCGCATGCGAGCTCAGCCATTGAAGCCTTCTGCGGGGCCACCCATGGGGCCGCGAAACGCAAAGGCAAGGAAGGGGGGGGTGCTGAGGCGGGCGGGAAATAATGCGGGGCGCTTTCTCTTCAAAACGAAGGCCCAATACCACAGGATGGCTCGGGGAAACCAACGAGCGCCGCAGTCAGTCGAGTCCAGGCGTCGCCGCGGCGATCAGCAGAACCCTCGCGCCCTGCATTCAAACCCGACGGCGCGGCGGGCCCCCCGCTTCTCAGCGAGCTGCAGCGAAGCGAATGCGAAACCGTCAGCCCCCCATGCCTTCGCCCGACCCAGCCCAAAGCCAAGGCAGAGGAGAGCGGGAGAAACGTCGCCGCGCTGGGCCGCCACTTTGCGAGAAAGCGGTGGTGACCCGCGCTGTCGCGCGCGTCCCTCAACTTCTGCGCCCAAGCATTCTGCCGACTCTTGCGGCGAGATCTCAGTTCTTCAGAAATCTTCCTGGAACAGTGCTGGAATCGCGCGTGCGGTGAAGGCTTGGCACTCACTGGCTTTCCTGACTCCCCCCGCCCGGTGAGCGCTGTCTCTCGGATCGGGCCCCGCGCGCGCAAGACGCTTCGCGTGCATCGCGAAAGAATGTGTCGCAGGCTGCGGGCCGAGGCTGCTGGCCGCGCTGCGCGCATTTGGCACCTGTCGACGCGAGGGCGTTTATTGGCTGCATGGCCAACACACGCCGCAAGCAATTTCGGCCTCCCGCTTGGTTGCAGCTGATCAAGCGCGCCAGGAGCCCACGCTCGACCCAACTGCTACGCGTCGGGGTTCGATGGCAAGGCGGGCGCCTGACTCTCCGTCGAACGACAGTTCTGCCCGGCAGTATCCACCATAACCCGCCGGCGCCGTGCACCTGCGGCGCGCAGAGGCGACGGCGGGCGCGCCCGGCCCCGTTGATCTTCGCCCAAGCCGCACATTCTGCCAATCGCCACCTCCCAGCCCGACGGGCACCTGCAGAAAGCGAACCACTGGATTGTTTTGCGCGCCGATGCAACCAGCGGCCCGAGCGCGGACGCTCGGAAACGCGCTCGCGCGCGCCCGCCGCGACGGCGAACGCGCGGGCGCGCGGGGACGCCCAACGGCGCAACGTAATCTTTCTGCGCGCAAGAGAAGCCTGCTGGAACAAAAACACCCAGCGCCGCGGTCGGCCAAGTCCGCGCGTCGACGCAGCGATCTGCAAAATCCATGCGCGCCGCATTCGGGCGCGAGAGAAACATTGCCGCGCTGGGCCGCCACCTCGCGAGAACGCGGCAGGGGCCCGCGCTGTTGCGCTTGTCTGGCAACTCCTGCGCCCGAGCATCCTGCTCGGCCCTATTTCCCAAATCGGCCAACTCTTGCGGCGAGATCTCCGTCCGCAGAAACCAACTCGGAACGGCGCTAGGCTCGCGCGCGCGCTGGAGCCTTCACGCCCCGCTCCAATGGCTCGTGCCACTGCAGCTGGACTGCCGTGGACAACTCGCAGACAATCGCACTGAGCAGCAGCATGGAGTGCACAAGTGTCATCATCGCGCAGAGTTGGCCCCTCGACGCGCGGACTGGCCTGCTCGCCCGTCGAATGGCGAAGATGGTTGCTTCGCGCGCGCGCGCCGTTGGACGGGCGGCAGAGGCGGCAACCGCCCCCCACCCAGCAAAATAAAAATGCCGAGGCAGGCGCGCGCCGGCCGCGGGAGCTCGGCCGTCCGCGGCCTCCGACGGCTCGGCCCCCAACGTCTCCCCGCGCCTCCCCGCCGTTCTCGGGGCAGACCTTGCGCGCGCATGGCGCTCCGCGCGTGCGGAAATCTGCGCGCTGGGCGCGAGTCGGCTCGAAGCGCCGGCCTCGTCGCGACGGTGGGTTTCTCATGCTGCGGCCCGAAGTTCCTGGCATCTCGGCGCGCACTGGGTAGTTCGCCGCGCGATCGGTCATTGGCGGCGCGGCCACCGCGCGCCGCCGCCCACTTTGGCCCCGCGACGGGGCGCAGCTAGCGCCGCGCGCCCAGGCCCCGCGCTCGACCGAGCAGCCGCGCGCCAAGGTTCGATGGCACGGCTGGCCGCCCGTTTCTCCGCCGCAGGACATCTCTGCCCGGCAGCGTCCGCCATGGCTCTCGGACGCCGTGTATCCACGGCGCGCGCGGGCGGCGCCGAGCGCGAGCGCGCCTGGCCACGTCAATCCTCGCCCGGGGCGCACGCGCCGCCAATCGCCACCGTCCAACCGAAGGGGTGCCTCTGGAGAGCGAGCCGATCAATTGTTGCGCGCGCTGGCGCTGCCAGCGGCCCGAGCGAGAACGCCCGGGCACGCGCTCGCGCGCGCTGGCCCCGCTGGCCCGAGCCCTTGTCTCTGGGAGCGGGCCCTGCGCGCGTGGGATTCTGCATCTCTGGAGCGAGTCCGTTCGACGCGCTGGCATCGTTGCGACAGAACGCTTCATGCGCCGTGGAACTAGGCCGCTGAGCAAAGGTGGCCGCGCGATTGGTTGTTGGCTGCGCGGCCAACGCGCGCCGCAATAAATTTCGGCTTCCCGCGTGGTCGCAGCCAGTCAGGCGAGCCTGGGCCCCGCGCTCGACCCAGGCGGTCAGCCATTGTGCCACCCCCCTCACATTTTCCTGGCCCCATGGGGAGCTCCACCTAAGGTCCTGGTGGTGCAGTCCGCATGGCGGCGCCGCCTCATTTTGGCACACCCCTCACATTCTTCGTGCCCCCATAGGGAGCTCCACCCAAGGTCCCAGTGGCGCAGTCCGCATGTAAGCGTTCCCTTCGTTTCGCTCCACCGAAGGCCCCAGCGGCCCATGTGTTTTTTTTTGCGCCCCGCCACACATGTCGGCACACCCCTCACACGTTTCGTGGCACCATTGGGATCGCCACCGAAGAAGATATTCACGATTGCGGTACTCACAACTGCACGTGGTTGGGTCCTCCGCCAAGAGAAGTTGTCTTGTACTGATTCGGTTGGCACAATAGGCACGCGCGCTTAATGCTTTTAGCAACGCTGCGTGGTGCATGTTCTAGACGTTGCGCATTCGAACACCACGCACGCTCTGTTAATACGTTGCACTATGTGCGCGCGCACATGTGTTCGTTTCCAGTAGTGAGGTAGTGCGCATGCTGCGCGTATGTCATATCGTACATACATGCTCATTCACAAATGTAAGCTGTGCGTGTCGTTATAGAGATTGGTTAGCGAAGTGCTTAATTTACACCTAAGACCGCTGCTCTTCAATGTTAGTAGGGGGCGGTGAGGAGGAAGGGATGATGGGGGAGGGGGGGGGGGGGGGAGGGGGAGGATATGGGGCATAATGAGGGCCCAGGTTTTTGGTTTCCGTTTGTGTTTTTGAATGTGATCAGAAGTGAGCTGTTTTCAAAATTTTCCTGTATACGGGGGTTGAGTTTTGAGGTCGATCCAAATGTTTTACGCATCATCAGGCAACCGGAAGATTTCATCCAACCTTGTGGATTTTCAGCGTCGAGGAGATGGAGATGACTAATATTGTGTGGAAAGCTTCTTGGTTGGAGATCTGCACTCATAAACGACGGCTCGCTGGTTTGATCCCTGGCCTCGTGTTGGTGAAAGCTTACGGTCCTCAAGATGGCGTTGTGGTGTGGCCTCCTCCGCCCACGAAGCGCGTGAAGGCGACCGACGCAGGGGCTGGTCGGGCTGGTCCTGCTCACGGTGGGCTTGCTCGTGGCAGAGGTCGTGGCCGCGGCCGCGGTCGCGCTGGGCTTCCTGCTGCTCTCGGCGACGCACCTGCCCCGCTCGCGCTGGTCGACGGGCCTGCCGACAGCGACAAGGAGTCGTCGAGGGGCGAGTCTCGGTCCGAACCAGATGCGAGCTCTTCCACTTCCAGTTCGAGTACTTCGGCTTCCAGCAGGGGGTCGTCCGATACAGATGGCGAGGACGCTAGGTGCACGGAAATGCTACTTGAACATCGTTTCGTCGAAGCCCGATGTCGGACTTGATTAGGGGGTGATGGGAGAATTTCCAGGTGGGTTCTTGGGAGTGCAAACGGTTGTTGTTTTGAGACATCACGTTTCGACGATGTTGTGTTTCCAGCAACATGCTCCGTTGGCAGGATTATGCTGCTGGCGGCCATGGCAGCGACGATGGTCACGGTGGCGACGGTGGGCCTCCAGGAGGTGATGACGATGGTGTGCTTGTTCCTGGCGGCGATGATCCTCCAGGGGGCGCTGGCGGCGTTGCTGGCGGAGCGCCCCCGCCACCACCGCCACCGCCACCGCCTGGGCATGCGGCAGGTGATCGCGAAGATGCTTTGCAGAGGGTTTTCACACCGCACGGCTTCATCTCGTTTTACCGCGGCGGCTTCTTCGTTGCCCAGTGCACCAGGCCAGGCCACGTCAAGTGCTCTTTGCAGCGCCCGGCGTTGCCATTCATGGGCGCACAACGCGGCCAGCGCTTGGGCCAGGGTCGGCCTATGGCTCGCCAGGGGGCCTGGCTGGACCACCCATGCGACAACAAGGAGCAGCGCGTCAGGTACCAGCCGACCTTGGCAGAGCGCCAGGCCAAGCGCCGCCAGTTCCAGGACGCTGGGCCGCTCATGGCGCATATGCTCGGGTTCGAGCGCGTTCGCCGCGACGGCGAGCCAGAGGAGCCGCCAGAGATCAATTAGGTCCAGGCGGGATTGTATTGAAGGAACGTTCTGTAAACGAATGCCGCTCTCCTCTGCGGATCTCCCTCCAAGCGCTCGGCCTTGTCGCCACGATCGGACGCGGCCCCCGTCGCCACGGCTGGACGGGTCACTAAGCAGGGGGCTGAGCGATTGGAGATAGGTCGGGGTAAGTATTGTGGTGCCCGAGATCAAGGTAGCGATCGGGATGCCATCTCATAACCGCGTGTGTTTGATATGATACATGATTGCCTTTGTAACAATGAGGATTACATGCCAGGAACGACGGTCGTGAAAACCGTGAGGGTAATTTGAATAGTGTACACAGTGAACCAGTGAGAGCGTCCAGTAAGCTGTTTGAGCGTTCAGCGGGCATGATCAAGGATCGTGCCCATCAGGGAGCACCCCTAGACGGCCCAAGAGAAAGGGTTTGCATGCATCGAGTAGATTGCACCAAGAGTAATGGCTAAGTTGGTGCGCTGCGCGATTCTGTCATCGCGCTTCGCGCTAGGCACGGGCACGCTGGACTTCAACGCACAGCCCCCTCTCAAGCAGGGCCTACAGAGGCCCCAAGAGGCCCCCATGGGGCCCTCCAACAGGCCACCCAAGAGGCCGCGAACCATGCTTCCAACAGGCCGCCAAACAGGCCTCCAGCAGGCTCCCAACAGAGCCCTAAAGCAGGCCTGCCCATCCACTAGCAGGGCACCACCAGACCCCAAGAGGACCCCAATATGACCCCAACGCCCCCTTCCCATCCGCCGCCCCAAGAGGACCCCAAGAGGGCCCCAAATAGGGCCCCAAGAGGCCCGCATGGAGCCCTCCAACAGGCCACCTAAGAGGCCGCCAACCAGGCTTCCAACAGGCCGCCAAACAGGCCTCCAGCAGGCACCCAACGGGGCCCTAAATCAGGCTTGCCCAGCCGCAAGCAGGGCCCCACCAGACCCCAAGAGGGCACCGAGCGAATCCCAACCGCCCCCCCCCCGCTCGCCTCGCTCCTTTCCCGACCCCCCTCCCCCCTCCCCCTCGCAGCCAACCCCTTGCACACCGCGGCCGCTCTGTCGGCCCTCTCTCGCCTCGCCGCGCGCCAGTTCGGGGGGTCAGCGACCCCTTGCGCCTATTCCCGCCGAGGGTGCAAGGGGTCAGGCGGTTTGGCCTGACCCTTGTCAGGTGTCGTTTGACCTATTTATGACCCTTAACAGGTGTCAAACGACACCTGTCAAGGGTCATAAATAGGGTCGGGCGAAAAACTCCATTAGGCGAGGAGGGTCGGGTACCCTCTGAACTTGCCTCGGGGGAGGCGCAGGGAAGTCTGCAAACCCCCTGCCCGACCATTGGTTGGACCCTTGTTGGGACCCTTCTTTGACCCCTGTTTGACCTCTGTTTGACCCTTTGTTGACCCGTGTTTGACCCTTGTTGGACCCGTTTTTGACCCCTGTTTGACCCTTGTTTGACCCTTTGTTGACCCCTGTTTGACCCTTGTTGGACCCTTGTTTGACCCCTGTTTGACCCTTGTTTGACCTTTGTTTGACCCCTGTGGACCCTTATTTGACCTTTGTTTGACCCGTGTTTGACCCTTTCTTTGGCACCTGGACGCTTGTTTGACCCCTGTTTGGATCCTTGTTGGACCCCTTTCTGACCCTTGTTTGACCCTTGGCTGCCCCCTTGGACCCTTGTTTGGACCTTTGTTGGTCCCCTTTTTGACACGTGTTTGACCCTTTGTTGACCCCTGTTTGGCCCTTTGTTGGACCCTTGTTTGACCCCTGTTTGACCCTTGTTTGACCCTTGTTTGACCCCTGTGGACCCTTATTTGACCCATGTTTGACCCTTGTTTGACCCTTGTTGGACCCTTCTTTGA